TCGAAAAACAAGTGACCGCCGATGAGGTCGAAAGTCGAGAATCGAGAGACCGTCGAGGTCGAAAATCGAAATCGAGTAATCGCCGATGAGGTCGAAAGCCGAGAATCGAGAGACCACTGAGGTCAAAAACCAAAAACCGAGTGACCGTCGATGAGGTCGAAAGCCGATAATCGAGAGACCACTGAGGTCGAAAACCAAAAATCGAGTGACCATCATTGAGGTCGAAAGTCGAGAATCGAGAGATCACTGAGGTCAAAAACCGAGTGACCGCCAATGAGGTCGAAAGCCGAGAATTGGGAGACCGCTGAGGTAAAAAATCGAAAACTGAGTTACCGTCGATGAGGTCGAAAGTCAAGAATTGAGAGATCACCGAGGTCAAAAACCGAGTGACTGCCGATGAGGTCGAAAGCCGAGAATCGAGAGACCACCGAGGTCAAAAACCGAACACCTAGTGATCGTCGATGAGGTCGAAAGCCGAGAATCGAGAGATCACTGAGGTAAAAAACAGAGTGACCGCCGATGAGATCGAAAGCCGAGAATCGAGAGACCGCCGAGGTCAAAAACCGAAAACCGAGTGATCGTCGATGAGGTTCAAAGCTGAGAATCGAGAGATCACTTAGGTCAAAAACCAAGTGACCGCCGATGAGGTCAAAAGCCGAGAATCGAGAGACCGCCGAGGTCGAAAATCAAAAACTGAGTGACCATCGATGAGGTGGAAAGCTGAGAATCGAGAGACCGCTGAGGTCGAAAACCGAAAATTGAGTAATCGCCGATGAGGTTGAAAGCCGAGAACCGAGAGACCACTGATGAGGTCGAAAAACAAGAACTGAATGATCACTCCTCGAAATTTTGAATTTGAAAATTTGAACTTATGCCTGCTGTGTTTCGATCACCCTGTTCGAACTCTCTTAGACCACCCATTCCTATCGCCACTCAGTTCCAACTTTAAAATTCAATTACGTTATCTATCCCCTCGGAAATCAAATTTCCTGCCCCCACCATCATCTCCAACGACCGAATTCGATAAAACCAAAATCAAATAAAAATTATCGACCCGAATAACCTTGCTCTACGAACTGCCCCTGGTGAACATCCTCAATCTGCCATGAGTTGCCCGATCTATCCATAATAAGATCCATCGACCTCCCACAGGATCAAAAGGACAAATACAACATAATCAAACCAAATAAGACCATCAATCTGCTCGAGTTATCCACAATAAACAGCATCGACCTGTCACTGGGATCAAAACCACAAATACAGCATAACCGAACCAATTAAAACCACCCATCTGCTCAAACTATCCATAATAAAATCCCGCCACTGAGGTTAAAAGCATAAACACAACAAAACCAAATCCAATAAATCCATTAACATGCTCGAGCTATCCGTAATGAGCTTGATCGACTTGCCACTGAGGTCAAAAGCACAAATACCACAAAACCAAATCAAATAAATCCATTAACCTACTCGAGCTATCCGTAATGAGCTTGATCGACCTGCCACTGAGGTCAAAAGCACAAATACCACAAAATCAAATCAAATAAATCCATTAACCTGCTCGAGCTATCTGTGACGAGCTTGATCGACCTACCACTGAGGTCAAAAGCACAAATGCCACAAAATCAAATCAAATAAATCCATTAACCTGTTCGAGCTATCCGTAATGAGCTTGATTGACCTGCCACTGAGGTCAAAAGCACAAATACCACAAAATTAAATCAAATAAATCCATTAACCTGCTCGAGCTGTCCGTGACGAGCTTAATCGACCTGCCACTGAGGTCAAAAGCACAAATACCACAAAACCAAATCAAATAAATCCATTAACCGACTCGAGTTATCCATGACTTCGCACTTGCCCACCTAATCCGAGGAATGTTCGAAACAGGAGGCCACCCAGCCTAAAGGCATGAGCTTTTCGACCAACCTGCCCATCCCAAGGGGTGTACTAAACAAGCGACCACCCGCCCCGGAGGCCTTAGTCATGGTGGATTTTGTCTTCATACTGCTCAAATTATCCATAATAACTCCCTCAACCTGCCACTGGGGTTAGGAACAAATATACAATAATACCAGACCAAATAGAACCAAATAGAAATAATCGACCTGCCTCCGAGGTTTGCTCGAGCTATCCATGTCTTCGCACTTGCCCACCCAATCTAAGAAATGTTTGAAACAGGGGGTTAACCTGCCCATCCCAAGGGGTGTACTAAACAAGCGACCACCCAGCCCGGAGGCCTTAGTCATGGTGGAATTTGTCTTCAGGCACTTGCTGACCCCGGGGGGCCTTTCGAAACAAGCAACCACTCATCCCGGAGACCTTAGTCATGGTGGATTTTGTCTTCACACTTGCCCACCTAATCCGAGGGATGTTCGAAACAGGGGGCCAGCCTGCCCATCCCAAGGGGTGTACTAAACAAGCAACCACCCAGCCCGAAGGCCTTAGTCATGGTGAAATTTGTCTTCAGGCACTTGCCGACCCCGGGGGGGCCTTCCGAAAAAAGCGACCACTCAGCCCGGAGGCCTTAATCATGGTGGATTTTGTCTTCACACTTTCCCACCCAATCCGAGGAATGTTCAAAATAGGAGACCAACCTGCCCATTCCAAGGGGTGTACTAAACAAGCGACCACCCAGCCCGAAGGCCTTATTCATGGTGGGCTTTGTCTTCAGGCACTTGCCGACCCTGAGGGGGCCTTCCAAAACAAGCGACCACCCAGCTCGAAGGCCTTAGTCATGATGTATTTTTTTTCTTTGAACCTTTCGACCTGCCCCAGAGGTCAAATAGGAACACATCGAGCAAAAAAATATGATAGTAATTGATCATTTTCGTTAGTCCCATAATATTCATAATTATATCGAGCAAGATAATGAATCAGGAATATTTTTCGACCTCCCTTTCCTGGCTGTACATGATGACATGTGCTCGAATTCTTCGACCTGCACTAAGTTCGAAAAGAAAAACATCGAACACAACAAGATATAATAACACCCGATCATTTTGTTAGTCATCCAAATAATAATCCCAACCATGTCCATATGCATCACAATCTCCTCAACAATTCGCCCAAAGTACTCAGGCAATGAACATTTCTAAAAACTAGTGCTAAAAGACTCAATGTGTCCATAAACCACGTGTCGATCACACACGACCACCGAACAAGAGTTGAGAATAATTTTGTACCTGAAGGTCGAGAATACCACTCCAAATTATCTTACCTCTCCAAAATAGAATGATTTCTGCCTTTGAGATTGCCACCGTTGATCGACATCATCCATGCTCGTCCTTCATTATCACCCACCTTTTATAGATCTATGCTCGTTCATTTTCTCCTCGACACTCAACAGCTCGTCCGCTATAGCTTGTCAAGACTTGGGTTATTTTGTCGTTTTCTCGACATAAATTCGAAGAGATATCATTATCCACATTATATTCAAGTTATCCATTTTGCAATGCTCCAAACAATAAAAACAAGAGATCAAATACAAATATCACCATCCCCTCGACTTAAGACATGCTCGAGCAATGACATGCTTAAACTCACCAAAGTTATGAACAACCAATTCAAACAAAATTCCACACTTTTACATGAAAATCCAAATAAAGGGTCCAGGTGTATCAAGATATCCAATTATATAAATATAATCCATGTTCTCGAGCAAGTCAAATTATTTCACAATCTAATCAAATAATCCTCCGCAAATAAACCAATTAATATCTCGACCAAATCAAACAGCCACAATCAAATCAAGTAATATCCACGAATAAATCACATAATTCACAAGTAAACCATATAATCCAACACGAGCAAAATTAAATAATCCTCCACGAATAAATCAAATATTTTCACGATCAAACAAGTATTTTCTCCACGAATAAAACAAATGATTCCACGACTAAATTAAATAATCTCCTCGAACCAATCAAATAACACTTCGAACAATATAGCATTTGCTCGAACATATTACATGATTTTCCTCAAACAAATCAAGCAATCCCACGAATAAATCAAATAATGCCTCGAGCGAGTCAAATAATTCCGCTCGGCCAAATCAAATAATGCTCCACAAACTAGTGAAATAATCCTGACGAATATATCAAATAACCTCGTCAAATAAATAACATAATTACACAAACGAACCAAATAATTCTCCTCGAATCCAACAACTAATTCTCCACGTCAAATAATTTCCATGAATATATCAAATATCTCCTCAATCAAATCCAATAATCTCCATGGATAAATCAAATATTATTTCACACAATCAAATAATTCCACGAATAAATCAAATAATTTCACGATCGAATCAAATATCGTCCGGAACAATCAAATAATATCTCGCAAATAAATCGCATAAGCTCCTCGAACAAATCAAATAATGCTCCACAAGTAAGTCCAATAGTACTCCACAAATAAATAAAATAATATATCCAATTTCACCCATTTCAAAAATCCTCATTTCTCCAGTTTTTCCAATTTAGATCAAATCATTTATCCAATTTTCGGCAATTTAATTTAAATGAACGTCATACCTTCCCCCAATAAAGTTGCCTCAAGTTACCTCCCGAAATAACATAGGACTCAAAACCAGTTTGCTGGACTATTCTGGCGCTTTTTCGGTCACATTTGGGCGCATTTGGACCACTAAAGGCCGCACATGGGAGATCTGGGCAAGGGCTGGACTCATTGGGCTTCAAAAACTCGTGTCGGGCCAGAAAGGGTAGCAGCAGTGGAGCTGGGCTGCTCGCGGGCTCCATGGGCTGGAGCAGTGAGAGAAGTGGGTTGGACGCCAAGCTAGACGCGGGCGGGCCAGATGCCGTGAGAAAAGCGGGTCGCGCGGGCTGGGCGCAGGCCGCGCGCTGGAATCGAACTGCTGCTGGGCCGCGGAGTGCTGGGCCTAGCTCTCTCCTCGACTGGGTTGCGGAAATTGGGCTACAGGGATGCTGGGCCTAGACTTCGGGCCACCTTCTCCCTACGCAGAGAACTAAAACCATGCCATGGCTGAGCAGCTGTGAGAATGGCGGCGGTCCTTCGTCGGACAGATTTCGCCTGTGAAAACTCTCCGTTTCCAGCGAAAGGAGAGCGCGCCTCGGCTAGGGGAATCTGATGGTGTCTTCGGCTTGGTGCGATTCACCGGAAATCATCAGAAATTTGGAGGAGATAACTTGATTTTGACCAAAATTTCTAGATCCAATAAATTTTGACCGGTGAATCGATGGCCTTCCTGACGAAATTTTTTCTTGATATTTTAAGGGTAGAACGAGCACGAGGAGAGCTTTGCAATGGTGTAAGAATTTTTCTGATCGGACAAATTTTGGCGATGGAGGTGGCGGCGGTTTCTGGCGAAGATTGATAGCTAGAGATTCGTCTCGTTGAGAGGATTCCGGTGGTACCCTCGGATTTTCCATATCCCTTACGGATCGCCGGTAAAATGCATTTGAATTTTTGATTTTGACCGATGTTTTGCTAGATCTGGAAACTTTGACAGCAAAATTGACGGCCTTCCAGGATGAAATTTTTGCATGAAAGGGTAGAGTCACCATGAGGAGATCTATCTAATGACGTAAACGATTTTCCGATCGGAGCACGTTTTCCGGCGGCCGGCGGTGACGTCGGCCAGTGGAGAAGAAGGAGGTTATCGAATTTTTTCAGTCGGAACTCCACTTGACTCTTTGAACGGGTCCCACAGACGGCGCCAATGAAGTAAAATAGATTTCACCCGGGCTCCTTCAACTCGGACGACCTCCGTACCTGCAGAACCCAACGTCGGGGATGGCCCCGGCGTTGGGCCTCCGATGCCTAAGTCAGTGCTCAGATCAAGAGAGAGAGTGTGTAGTATGGAATGAGTAGAGAATGGGAAAATGAGATACCTTAGCCCCCCCTTTTATAGGGGGAGTGTACCTTTTGGGCTCAAGTTGGGCTTGGCCCATATCGTTATGCTATATGTCTTACTCCATACGTGAGCTTATCCTCCAATATGTATTCGTTTTATCTATTAAGCCGGTCTAGTATAATATTCTATAATTACGGCTGGTATTTTTTGACCGAAAACCGAAAACCAAACTGAACCGAACCGAACCGATGTGAAAATAAACCGAACCGAACCGAACCATGTGTATCGGTAACCGATTTTCGGTTACCGAAATGTTACCGGTTCGGTATCGGTTCCGAACCGATAACAATATAAAAAAAAATACTGCTTTTAATAGGTATATATTAGTTAAATAAAATAATTAAGACTTACATTATAATTAATCTAATAGAAAAAAGGACGGGTATTAACACACAGAATCTTAGGGCTGGGCTTCAAATTTCATATGCCCCCTTCAGAATCAGCAGCATCGTTTTATTTTACTTCAGAAATTCATATCGCCTCCTTCACCTCGACCTGTTCTGCCGTTCACACCTTCACGGCTTCACCGACTCACCTTTAGATCGCCTCACCTTCACCTGGGAGTTCAATCCGTCGTTCACCTCACCTTCACTTCAGAATTCAGATCGCCTCCTTCACCGACACACCTTCACGGCTTCAGCGACTCACCTTTGTGACTTCAGCCGGGCCCTAGGTAATTATCTTCAAACCCCATAATTATCTTCAATTTTGTTTTCAAAGAAAACACAAAAATCAAAACCCCCGTTGAGTTGATTCGACCAGACAGAAGCATAATCCCAGTCTTCCTCCATCCATGGATTGTTCATTCATGAGCCTTCCTTAGTTGTTCACAACTCACTGAAAATTCATACCTTTTTTTTCTTTAGCGACAAGGGCTTGGAAAATGGGTTCCAACTGTGATGTGTGATTGAAATGGATTATTATTAGTAGTAATTAGTAATTTAGTATTAGTGGGTAGTGGCTTTTTAGAGGTCTTGTTTATGAATTAAAATTTATAGCTTGTTTATGAATTAATATTTATAGCTTGGTCTCTGCTGAGGTTGAATTGAACCACTTTGAACTGAGTTATTAGGGTCTGATTGCATTCTGGATATGGGAACCAGCTTTAGAAGTTAGAACCTCATGTTTTACATAAAAATTCACATCTTTGTATGTTAAGCTGTAAGCATGAACTTGAATTATTAATTCATACATAATTATTAATTCATTTTTGTAGTTCTATTGTCATGTTCATGTATGTGTTTATTACTTTATTATGGATGTTCTCAGTTTTAATTTAATATATATACTTGATGTTGTATTAGGAATGGAAAGTCAGAGTGTGAGTTCAAGTAATCCGGCTCTAAGCACCAATGCCAATGTTGATAATCAAACTCAAGAAATCTCGAGAAACACTTCACAAAAAAACAATCCAAAAAAAAGGAAGGAGAGGAGCATCGCTTGGGATCATTGTACAAGGAAAATTATTCACGATGATGAAGGAAATGAGGAGATGGTTGCTATTTGCAAGCATTGTCAATTACAAATGCCGGTCGATTCAAAAAGGAATGGAACGAGAGGCCTTCTCAATCATTTGTATCATAAGTGTGAGAGTTCTCCTCTTCGTCTGGTGATGGACAAGAGCCAACCCACATTAACTCAGTCGATGATGGGAGGTGAAGTAAAAATTTCCGACTTCAACCAAAAAAGACTCGACAAGATGTGTGTGAAGTGGATTATCAAGGCGGAGATGCCTTTTCGAACCGTAGAGCAACCGGACTTCAAAGAATTTATTCTTGATCTTCAACCTCGTTATATGATTCCTAACCGGAGGAAGATTGCAAAGGATGTGTGGAGTTTATTTTGCGAAGAGAAAGCAAAGATCAAAAGTATCATTGGTGATCTTCGGGTGAGTATCACAACCGATACTTGGACCTCTATCCAAAATATCAATTACATGGTGGTGACGGCCCATTTTATTGACTCGGATTTCCACTTACACAAAAGGGTGCTCAATTTTTGTAAAATTACTTCTCATAAGGGTGAAGACATAGGAAGGTGTCTCGAAGAGAAGTTGGTCGAATGGGGGCATAAGTAAGGTGTTTACCATTACCGTGGACAATGCGAGTTCGAATGATGTGGCCGTGGAGTATTTAAAGAAGCAACTCCGGAAACATGATGGTCTTATGCTTGATGAAAACTTGCATATGAGGGGTGCTTGTCACATAATTAACTTGATTGTGAAGGATGGGATGAAAGAGTTGGTAGACTCCATTGAAGCCATCCGTAATTGTGTCAAGTATATTCACTCTTCAAGTGCGAGGTTGGATAAGTTTCGGGAGTATGCGGCTTTAGAGAAGAAAGATAAAATGTCGACTATCCCGATGGATGTTGTGACTCGGTGGAATGCCACATACATCATGCTTCATAGTGCTTACAAGTTTAAAGGTGTGTTTGCAAGGTTGGAGGAAGAATTTAAGCCTTTTAAGACATACTTTGAAGAGGGAAGAGTGGGGCCTCCGAATGATGAAGATTGAGAAAAGGCTATGGGATTTGCACATTTCCTCAAGAAGTTCTATGATGCCACCGTCAAGCTTAGTGCCACCAAAACTCCGACCTCGCATCTTGTTCTAAAAATCTTGATAAACTTGAAGATTAAGATTGAGGCTAGAATTAAAGATAAGAAAAATATTGTGTTGCAAAATGTGGCTACTTCTATGAAGAGGAAGTTTGATAAATATTGGGGTCTTTCGAAGATATGAACATATTAATGTTTGTAGCCCAAACCCTTGATCCACGTTATAAATTTCAATTGATGGAGTTGCAATTAGGGGAACTTGGCTACACTTTTGATGAAATTGAGCACCTTAAGAGTCGAGTGAAAGCACACTTGTATCTTATGTATGAAACTTATAAAGGAACGGAAAAGTTACATGTGGATGTGCATGAGGATGGTGATGATGGTGTTGATCTTGGTGGTGGCGGTGGTGATGATGATGATAATGAAGATGATGATGATGATGATGATGTGGAATTGAGGATAGAGCGAAGACTTAATAGGCAAAGAAAAGAAGCAAAACTCAAAGAGATAGCTAATGAAGTTGACAAGTACTTTAATGATGCATATCAAAGTACAAGGAATGATGATTTCGACTTATTGGCGTGGTGGAAAAGTAAAATCTCAAGCTACTCTATTCTTTCCAAGGTTGCTAAGGATGTACTTGCTTTTCCTAGTTCGACCGTTGCTAGTGAAAATGCCTTTAGCCTTGGAGGAAAGATTGTGGATCCGTTTAGAGCTTCTTTGACATCTAGGATTGTCGAGGCCTTAGTTTGCACAAATGATTGGCTTAGAGGGGAGGAATTTCAATTTCACAAGGAGCCTACGGAAGAAGAGCTTGAGTTCTACATGGAACTCGAACAATTGGAGCAAAGTAAGTAACTATTTTATTAATATTTTGATATTCATATTGTGCATGAAATAAGTTTTTTGCTTATTGACTTATTTGTAATATTTTATAGGTATTCCCAATACAAATGAAATGTCACCACCTCCATCTAAAAGTTCAAATCATCCCGAGTCCGGAATTAATAAATTACAATCCCATCCATCTAGAGGGGGAAGAGGGGGAAGGGGTCGATCAAACCGTGGTGGACGTGGCGGTGGTGCTACATCATCGAGCAAATTAATAGATGAGGTTCTTGTAGTTTAATTTTATTATAATTGGTGTTCTTTCTTTTAAAATAATAATAATAATAATAATAATAATAATAACAACAACAATAATAATAATAATAATAATAATAATAATAATAATAATAATAATAATAATTATTATTATTATTATTATTATTATTATTATTATTATCTTAGTGCATTTTTTTTCTTATGCAGGAGTAGATGAGTAGTGGATGAATGCTTTGAGTTTGAGCTATTTTATTGGTGATAATTCAGATATGTTGTGAGTTGTGACTTGATCTGTTATTGGAATTCACACTGTGTTGTGATTTGGATTTTGGATATGGTTTGTTGTGTTGTGAATTGGATTTAGAAGTTGGAAGTTTGGAACTATTGTTGAGCTTGTTACCTTATGAACTTATGATCTGCCTACTTTATTTTCTGTCTCTGCTGTTCAAGACTTCAAGTGCTCACTTTATCTTTTGCCAACTTTCTTTGCATGTGACTTGTTTTAGACTTTTAGTTTGTGAAAAAATGATTAATGTGTTGTGATTCAGTTTTGATGATGGACCAACCTTTTATTGGAATTATACTACATGTTTATAATTAGTAATAAGTAGAAGGCTCTGCTTATGTTCATTTTGCACAGGTATTTTGCATGCTGCTGCTGTTTTTTTTTTTCGTTTTTTTCGGTTTTTATCGGTTTATACCGAAACCGAACCGTTTTATCGGTAACCGATTTTTCGGTTACCGAATGTTTATCGGTTCGGTTTCGGTTTGCAAAGTAGTGAAACCGATAATGTTCGGTTCGGTATCGGTTTTATGTTATCGGTTCGGTTACCGAACCTATATCATATAGTTTTTATTTGTCTGAGTAATCAATCTGAACGTGATTAGGTATATTGACTTTATTAGATTAATAAGGAAAATAACAGATTTTCCTCCAATGAATATTTACAAGTTAAATTCCTTTATTTTTCTATTTAAATAAAAAACCTTCTAAATAATACTATTCATTGTATATATGTTTATATATAGAAAATTATTTCAATCTCTTGAAAATCAGAATTGATACCGAATTATTTAATAAACATAAAAAAATAACTTAAATCACAAAAAACTACAGTCAGAATACAATTTAATCAAAATAAATATTTACAATAAAAAATTGTTGCAGCACCTCCTCTTCATTCTTTTATTCCTGCCACATTTAGTAAAAAAAATCAGAAATTTTAAATAAAATCAGCATATAAGGATTTAATATATAGATGCCGAAAAGTGACAGATTATTAAAATAAAAATTTACAAAAAAAATAAATGATTGCAGTACCTCCACTTACTTTCTTCTATTCCTGCACAAATGCAGAAAAAAAAAAATCAGGATATTTAATACTTATTAAAACTAAAATTTACAATAAAAAAATCAGGAATTTTTTTTATTGATATTGCTTATAATTATGATTGAATGAATCATGAATCTAAAAAGCTAACTCATTAATTTTGACCCATTAGACCTACCTATAAATAAACCATAATTCATCACTTATTCAATCATCACTACAGCAACATTATATTCCTCAATCTTCTGAAAATATTAGCTTTTTTTCCTGATAATTTCTTCATCTTTTTAATGGCAACAACAAAATTCGACATAATCAACATCTTAGACGAAAACAAGGACAAGGCAATTTCTCTTCGTTTGGTTCGTTATTATTCCAAAAAGGAATCAGAAAATAGCAATCAAATAAAAAGCTTGGAATTTGTATTCAATGACATTGAGGTAAAATGAATTTTGTGTACTTTTCATTGATTTAATGTTTTGTTTAATAGATTTATTCACAACTTGACATTTCATTTTTTTTCCCCACAGGGTGGACGATATCACGCCACTGCACCTGCCAGCATAATTTAAAAGTTTTCAGAATTAAATTTAGTAGAGGGCAATCTTTATGAACTAACATGGTTCAAAAAGAAGCCCGACTACAATATTTTCAAGATTGTGCAGAATTACAATCAATTTCAGTTCTATGAACAAACAATGTTGGCTGGATTTCAAGATGAATTCTTCCCAAAGTGTCTTCAGTTTCAATAATTTTGAACATTTGAGCCATGGCAGCACAGTGAACCCAACTTTAGTATTTGGTTGAGCCTAGCGACGGCCGAGAAGGTAGTGCTCGGCGATGTGCAGCGGGACTCATGCCGGGAACAGCTGGACTCAATGATGTGCGAGAGGATGCCTACGGCGAGGCGCGGGGTCTACAAATTCACGCCAAAAATAACATGGAAGCAAATGATGGCGATGGTGACGGGGTCTTGCTGCTGTCTCGCGATGGAGTAAAGTGGCGTGATGGTGATGGCGCAAGATGATGATGGTGGTCAATGATGATAGATAGTGAGAGAGAGCAAGAAAGATTATTCTTTCTGCTAGGGGAACGACACGATAGAGAGATGGAAGAGATGAGGAGATGAGCAATTAAAAAAAGAAGCTGTTGCGGTTTAGTATCGTGATGAAGGAAAAATCTCTCTTTTATAAGGGCTAGCTTAGGGTTAGATCAATAGTAATACCGTGTGCCCTGGCACACCTAGCTAGGTGTGCCATGGCAGTTTTGCACGCGCCTCCTTCATCCCAAAAGCAAAAAAAATTAGAGAGTGTAGTTCACATTCCTATTTTTCTTTTTTTTTTAATTGAAAAATAAGACATATTACATAAATTAAAATAACATTAATTATTTATATTAAAAAAATAAAATAAAAATACCAAAATTCATAATTTTTCATTATCTATAAATAGAGACCACATTTGATATGTTTTTTAACACAAATAATTTTTCGTTTTTTTTGTAATTATTTTATTATACTGACATATAATGAACATTTTACATAATAAAATGAATATGTTTTCAAATATGATGAACATGTTACAGATTGCAGATTGAAATAATACATATTCATCTTATTTTACAACATGTTCACCTTATTGTGTATGTAACATGTTCATCTTATTCTATAACATGTTCATTTTATTATGTAACATGTTCATCTTACTCTATAACATGTTCATTTTATTACGTAACATGTTCACCTTATTGTGTATGTAACATGTTCATCTTATTCTATAACATGTTCATCTTATTTTATAACATGTTCATTTATATTATGTAACATGTTCATCTTATTCAATAACATGTTCATTTTATTATGTAACATGTTCACCTTATTGTGTATGTAACATGTTCATCTTATTCTATAAAATGTTCATTTTATTATGTAACATGTTCATCTTATTCTATAACACATTCATTTATTTATGTAACACGTTCACCTTATTTTAGAACATGGTCATCTAAATTTCATCTGTGAAAATGTAACATTTTCATCTTATTCTATGACATGTTCATCTTACTATGTAACATATTCATCTAATTATAGATTTATGTCATAATCTTCCAATAAGATAAATTAATTATAAAAAATGATAAATTAATTGTGTTCCAAAAAATATCAAATGTGGTCTCTATTTGTAGAGAATGAAAAATTATGAATTTTGATATTTTTATTTTTATTTTTTGATACAAAATATGAATGACAAATTAATTTATATAATATAATATATAAATTTTATTACCCAATAGAAATGAGACACATGTCCCATTTTAAAAAAAATGTTTTACCTCCTTACCTTACGCGCTTTTGGGAGGAGTGTATTTTACAAAAGGCCCTGGCACACCTAGCAAGGTGTGCCAGGGCACACCTAAGTATTTGTCGGGTTAGATAACTTTCCAATCAAGAAACTCATACACAAGAGAAAAAGAGGAAAAACGGGTCGGGTACGGGCTAGGAGCGCAGGTTTCGGGCCTAGGC